TTATTTATTTATTTATTTATTTATTTATTTATTTATTTATTTATTTATTTTCAAATTTGTATGCCGCCCATCTCCCCCAATGGGTGACTCTGGGCGGCTCACAATATTAGACATTATTCTAGTTGATCCAGAATTAATCTGGATTAAGTAATTCTGTACTGTTAATGAGACTGAGCTCTCCTGCAAATTATATATTTTTTAAGTGGCTTTAATTACGTTTATTTTTTTTTAATTATTCTTGTGGTTATTTTTTGGTAATTATGTTGTATTGTTTCATGTTTTTAAATCTGTTCACAGTTCAGAGTCACATATGTGAGATGGATGGCTATATAAATTTACCAAATAAATAAACAAATTAAGAAAAATTAAAAATCAGTGGATAGCAGATTCCCAAACAATAAGGGAATGGAATTAGAAGAAAAATAATTTTCTTCTAATGAATTAATTAAATTAATTAGTTTCCAAACAATAAGGTAATGGAATTAAATTAATTAATTCCCAATCAATAAGGTAATGGAATTAAAGAAAATTGTTATATTTTTTTTAATAAATGTTCCTCACTCTTCAAACAAACTTAAATCTTAATGATTTGTTGATTTGGTTGCTAAATATTTCCTAGCTATGCTCTATCAACACAATTGTTCTTCTGGCCTATCTCTACATTCAGTAGTTCAAAGACATGCGACAATTACACACTTCACACAAACGGTGAAAGCATCAGAGGACCTGGGGTGTTGGGCCCTGAAACTAGGAAAACAGGAAGCCAGTGAAAATGCGAAATATTCTGCAAGAGCATTTGAACTCGCAAGGAGGGCAGGCCCACCTGCCCCACACTTACTCCCTTCCATGTCCTCCGTCCAGTTGCGGCTGCTACTTGTGGGGGAGCTAGGGGATGCATAGTATTCACCCCCGGGGCTGGTGTCCAGATCATCCTCCATGGATCCTGACTTATGCCGTTTACTCCTTATGTGAAAAAAAGGAGACACGTGGTTTTAACAGCAATTTAAATCTAAGAATATCAAGCTCATCTAACCACATCTATGATGAACCCCTCTTCAAAAGCAGCATGATAGCATTACAACAGCTATCAAAGGTAAACTTTGAAAGGAACATCCTCCTTTTTATACTTCACTGCTCTGTGTAACAAATCACAAAGTCCAAGGAGTTAAGACTGCTCAGAGGAGCTTACATTGTGAAATAGGATTCAGAAGAGAGACAAATGAGGTAAGAAAATCAAGGCAAAGGTAAACAATTTGCAATTATTCACTTAACAAATTCCTAACATTATAGTGGAAAGAATAAAGAAGAGAAGATAAGCTGGAAGAAGTATGAGGTACAGGTGCTTTGGTAGAGAGTTCTGGGCACAAGAAGTAAAAGAGAAAAGGTAGAATCATTTTAAGGGACAGGAACAAAGGACAGAACAGTGATATATTGGGATAGAAGAACAGAGCAATAAAAAGGAAAAAGTCATGGAGGGCTTCAGAGGCATCCGGGGGTCAAAAAAGTCAATATGGCAGCTGTGACCACATGATCAAAGCCCCACCACTCTTTCTGTGTATCAGACATGCCCCTGAAGGATTCTGAAGATAAGGATCAGGAGTTTGTACAGGATATGGGAATGGGTAGTAAGGCAAGATAGGGAATGAAAGAGCAATTTCAGCAGGTCATTAGCTACTTAGTGAACAAAGCTTTTCCTTTTCTTTAATTAAAAGATGACAGCACTCCTAAAGGCTGAGATGGTATCATGTTTGGCTTATGAGTCACCAGATGATCACCTTTAAAATTTCAATTCTGGTCCTAAGAGCATATTAGAGGGGGTTGCTTCCATTATACAGAAAGACATTCGGAGGGCTGTCAAACGTTCCACTTTCCCCTTTCTCAAGTAATTTGCATTCCAGATGCTTGAGACATGTGGATGTGAAGTGGTTGAATAAGTCAGGATCATGATTCAAGTTGTTTAAAAAGTGAGAAAGGAAAGAGAAAAAGTGGAGCATAAAAGCTACAGCCTTCTAACTTGAAACCTTTTACCTCAGCTAGAAGAGAGAGAGAAAGACTGCATTAAATCACACACAATGTTTGTCTGCATATGCTAACTAGAAAATAATTTCTAGTTACAAGAAATAGCTGGATAAAGATCCTACGTTCTTGAAGAACCACTTCTGGACATGACCCAATTTCGTAAGACCTGGCAACCTTCAGATCCCGTCAGTTGCATCCTCAGTGGGGTAAAAGCCTTATTCCGTAAATATATATACACACATGGCAAATTTAGACTTACCCACTGGAGGAAGTGCTGGGGAGCGTCCGCCTCATCCCTGTACTCGAGGGATTCAGGTCGTATGCTAAGTGCCCCTGCAACTCTCCCAAAGAGAAATTTGGCCCTGTGCCTGTCACCACTGGTGCTGTGGATGACAAAGAGAGAAAAACTATCAACAGTAGGGAGGGAGAGTGAATGATTCATAAAACAAGAAGGGCTGAGTATTGCTGAGGGTGGAATGGATATGTGTTTTTTGAAATCTCTGCTTCCAACAGTGTTGTTGTGTCAGAGTTTATGGAGCGAACTGATGGGAAATCTGTATATCTATAAAGATGCACTCCAGACATATGCATACATATATGTACAGAAATCATTCACATCTTGTATATTTACAAAAAAACCTGTACCTTCCGCTATCCAATTCTCCTGATTTAAAAATGGCTAATTAGATATTCTAGAAAGATTTCCAAATTTTGGAATGTCAGAATAGATTTTATGCATGTATCTCACAAAAATAATTTAAAAACAACATTATGTCACAAGTTTCCCTATACCAAGTGACTATGAATCCATGTATTCATTTATTTATATTTTATCTATTATATTTATAATTTATCTTTTTTGGCGGGGGGTAAGCTCAAGATAGAACTTACTGTATATGGAGATCTCCCTTCATTCTATCTCCACAACAGTTCTGTGAGGAAGGCTGGGCTGAGAGAGAGTATCTGGCCCAAAACCCCTTAGGAGTCTCCATAGCTGAGAGGGAACTTAAATCTGAAACTCCACAATTCTTGTTCATACCTTGTTCAGTGCACCACACTGGCTCAGATTTAGCTCAGGGTCAGGGTTGACCTAACAGATCTTGCAGTTGCTATAGTCTGGACTGAGCACCAACCTGGCCCTGTTGCCAACCCAATGCAATCTGGACCGGAATTTCTAAAGATGGTTTAAGAAACAGCCAGGAGCACCATGGGAGAGAAGCAGGTTAGGCTGCAATGCAGAATTGCCTGGAATCTTAAAACCAATGAATACTCTGGATCCACCCAATACTACCAGATTCCACCAAGTTCTCAAAGATTCATAATAACTGAACTACTCTCATCTCTTTCAACTCAGGTGGGGAAAAGTATTTTAAAGTCAAATGCTGGGAAAGCTATACCATGGGAAGTTAGAGGTGAAAAACTGAAATCATGTATAGAAAGTAGCTGAGAATTTCATTTTTAAAATATATGTTTCATATAGGGAAAAGAGCATCCCAACTGAGAAGAAACATATGGGGAAATATACAACATACAAAATGTCTGTATTATAGAAATATGTACAAAATACATAGGAAAAGTGTGCATGAATATTATTTTATTATTAATATTAGATTTTTAAACTGTCACAATCATGTGACTTTTGATCATGTGACTTTTGATGTATATTTTCTAGGGAAAAGTTTTTCTATCGTATGGGGCCATCATGGAGAAACTCTTTCTCCTGGCCTTAGCCCCTAATTTCCCAGTAGTAGGGAACTGAAAGCCGTTTTTCCTGAAATCTTCATATCAGATAGATTGATCAGGTTTAATACGTCTGTGACCCTTGACACGGGGACTGTTGCATTTTGAACCAACTGCAGTTTCTGAATTTTCTTTATAGACAGCCCTATGCAGAATGCATTGCAGCAGTCAAACTGGATGGTGGTAAGAACGTGAATTACTGCATGAAATCCTCCCGCATCAAAGAGGGCCACAACTGGTGCAACAACCAGAGCTGGACAAAAGCCTTCTAGCCATGGCCTCCTCCTGCCCATCCAGCAGTAATTATGAGTCCAGGAAGACCCACATCATGAAACTGTTCCCTCAGGAGCAATGCCATTCTTTGGAGACAACACTGGAGTTGGCAGAGAACCTAGTTTATCAAACAGCAACGTTATCTTGCTTGGGTTCAGATTCAGCTTGTTTCCTCACATCCAGACCCCAATAGCCTACAGTCGCTGGGACAAGACTTCAACAGTCAGTAGCATCAGTACATTGATGGTAGCACACACTGAACCAACAGATACTTTTCCCAGTAGCTGTATGTAGATATTAAAACTAAAAATATGTGTACAATTTTTAATGGAAATTTGTTAACGTCTACAATGAGGAAAAGGAATGGATTAAATGAATGGTGGGAAAAATTAACAACTGAGCAAAAGTCTTACTCATACCCGCCTTTCAAACTATATAAAGTAGTTGACAGAAGTGAGAATTAAACAGGAAAAAAAAAATGAGACAAGCTACTCACTCCGGGAAACTTGGATAAGTTCTGTGACACTGAACACACCTGACGTAACAAAATTCTCTTGGAAATCTGCTGCATCTGCAAAAGAGATTTTGGACTCATTTAGAAACTGCTACAATAATCAGGTTTTTTTTTCCTGAATTGTTCAATGTTTTCAATGTCAAGGTTTGACTCAAAGAATGAAACTTCTTAAGCTTTAAATCAGGTAATTAGCATATAATCCTAAATATTCCAAACTGAATACTTTTTAAACCTTTTCCTCCCATTTATCATTGTCAGAAGGGAAAAATGACACTTAAACTAAATATCCCTGGAGCCACAGGCTATCCATTTTTTTAGACTAGAAAGAACAAGAGTCTAAGAAAGCAACCGGCAAAAGAAGTCGGACCCTAAACTAATTTAATATTATATAACAGCATATAAAATATTGAGATATAAGATATCTCAACTGCATCAGGTTTAAGAAAGCCTTTATAAAGAAAATATGGAACTGAATGAGTTTTTACAAGCTGGCTGCCATTCCCTCCTGACACTCGTTTATACTGGTGTCTGTTTTTAACTGTGATATCATTGACTCCATTCTTATTCATTGATAGGTTTCTTCATTTTGATGTAGGTTTATTATTGTTCAGTCTTCCTGCACAGCCATGGGCTACCTTGCTCAAAGCATGCAGGGTCAAATTTTAACAGTAAACAAAAAATACATAGCCCAAAGTCTAGCTTCAGCAGGCAATGCTTATCAATGTGAAGCACACACAAGGTACAAGGACTTTTCAGTGGTGACGCTTAAACTGTGGAATTTCTTCTCTGAAATGATTGCAATTCATCTACCTTAGCAAGCCTTGGAATTCTAATTGCTGCTGTTTCAGATCCTTTTCAAACCCAATTTCATTCCTGCTTTTTTTATATGAAGATGTTTGCTGTAGCTGTGTTTCAATTTCAAGATTTTAGTCATCTGCACAGGGGCAGAAATGTTTATCTATTTAGACATCACTGAATATAGCATTCCGTATTTTTGAATGTGGAATGCAAACTGGTAAATACAGTAATTGTTAGCATTTATTTACTTTTTTATTAGATTAGCATCCCTTACTTTATCCACACAATTACAATCTCGTGAGGTAGGCTGGACAGGGAGAGAGGGGTTGGCCCAAAGTCATCCAGTGAGCTGTGGATGGACTCGAATCTGGGTCTCCCCTCACCTGATTCAACACTTATCCACCACAACACAATGGCTTTTAGAAAATAATTGCTACAACAATATGTACAGTCATCATGTTACAAAACATTCTGTTTCATTGTAATCTAATTTCATTTCAAGTTAAGTGTTTGTCCTTTTATGTACAGCAGATATAACAAGCAACAGAATTAAAATGTAGAATATTTAATTAAAATTCTTGGACAGATCATTTTTTCCAAAATATTCCCTAAATCCAATAAATGTCTCTTACAGGTAGTCCTTGCTTAGTGACCACAATTGGGACCAGCGACTCTGTTGCTAAGTGACCTGGTCACTAAGTGAAACATCACGTGGCCGCAACAGACTTACAATATCACTTCCCATTCAATCGTACAGCAAGACATCACATGACGGTGACTTGCGATTTTACAGCCAGCTTTTCCATTGACTCTGCCTGTCAGAAGCTAGTTGTGAAACACCTGAATGTTAATCACATGACTGTGGGGACGCTGTAACAATCGTAAATGCAAGGACCTGGTTGTAAAGTTACTTCTTCAGTGCCGCTGTAACTTCAAACGGTTGCTAAACAGGGCAGTCATTAAGCAAGGACTACCTGTATATATGTGTGGGTGTCCACACATTCAGATAGGAAAGAAAAGCTTACACAAGAGGCCTCCAAAAGTTGCTAACGACACCTTCCAACATCCCTGTCATAGACTACTTGCTCACTATTTAGAGCAGTGTTTCTCAACTTTGTCCACTTGAAGATGTGTGGACTTCAACTTCCAGAATTCCCCAGCCAGCCATGCTTGAAGTCCACACATCTTCAAGTGGACAAGGTTGAGAAACACTGATTTAGAGATCTGCTGAATGATGCTGGGTCGGGGATGTGCATTCCTAAGTATATTGTCCTCAAGGCTGCGGCAGGATCTGATTTGGTTTGGAATAAGCCAAGTTTTTTTCTAAATTGGGAAAGTGGGGAGAGACAGAACAGGACCCCAAACCAAGCTTATTTCTAAGCCTGCCTTGAGGTGCTTCTCCATTATTACACCCATTTCCTGCTTGGATCATCCCTTGATGTGTAGCTCCACAGAATCCATCTTTCCATGGGCCTGTTCCAGGGTACCATCCCATCTAATTCTTTCAGGATTTGTACTGCAGGTCCAGCGAACAACAGACCGACGGTTTCATACATTCACCCACACCTTTCCTCTGTCCTCCTCTTTTGCTATGGACATGCTCTTGCTCACCCAGCGTGATTATGGGTTTACTGTCCTCCTGGTCAGAACTGATTCCCGTTCTCGGACTGCTGCTTTGATCTGAATCTGAAAAAAAAAAATGTGCATTATATTTTACAGCTCTACACAACCGGGGCATGCACAAATACATCTGTCTCCTTTTTTCCCAAAAGTGGCTTTCCTACACCATCACCACAACCGAGAAGTTTAGAACAGCGTCCAGGGCTGGCTGACCAAAATACAGTGTCAGAATTTCGTTAGACAAAGTGAGGTGGCTTTTTCAGACAGCCGCTGATTCTGGGTGGCCTGAACAGGCAGTCCAGAGTTAGTTTTAATGTTATATTTTTGCTGTGAGGGAAAATGTTTGTGTAAAGGGGTGTGTGGTAGATTTTCTGCCTGATAACTCTATAACTTGTGGGATTTTAACACTAGACACTTAGACTTGGGGGACAGCAAGGGAGGGTCACTGGTTGTGTCACCCCAGGCCACAAAGCGCTCATCTTGGTAACAACCTTTGCTAAGATCCTTGGTCTTTCTTCATCAAGGTAAAGATGAACAGTGGCTGACCACAAGTCTAGGGCCTACTGGGTTGCTATGGCAACCGCCAAACACTAATGGGTGCTTGGAGTAATGTAATTTTTGCAGTAATGGCTGCCCTCCTCCCCATAATCAGCCCTCCCTCGACAGCACTCACTTTGCAGCCCGGGTGGGTGATTAACGAGCAGAGCCGCCAATGCAGATGAAGCTTCTCCCTCGGCCTCCCTTCCCGGGCTATCAGCCATGCAGGCAACACCTGACCTCAGAGCTCTGTTGGCGCCACTAACGCCAGGCGTGCAATGCCACTGCGGATCCCAACCCCGTGCCATGTATTTGAGCATGATGAAATAAACATTGCCCATTGATGCAATCCTTCACCTTTATATATGGGAAACATAAGGTACCGTCTTATGCTGCATTAGTTCTTTGTTCTGCAAGGTTGGGTGGGGATAGATTGGAATCTTCTGGTGGGTCTCGGAATAATTTGGCACAGGGCTGCAACGAAGTTTCTGACTCCGTTCTCAAGAGTAGCAACATCTAAGAGCCCTTTCCAAGGAAAGCAGGAGCTGGAGCTTGCAGGGAGGGAGGAAAATTTTTGTGTAAAGGAACTTGTGTTGGGTCTTTGGTTCTAATCATGCTCAGAGACAGTTTTTCCCTTAATGCTCAAACTATGGGCACTTCCACGGGGCACTCTGGGGCAGTTCCCAGATAGTGCCACATCCCACTGTTCCTGGTGTCACCCTTCAGCAGCTGAGCTGATTTTCTTCAGGCTTTGCTGCCTGAAATCTCAAATTGCGGAACTCCCATTTTGAAATTTGATAAGCCTGAATTCCATGGGGTTGGTGGAAACTCCCACTTGGAGCTGCCTCCTGGTTCCATGGCTCTTTTTCCTACTCTAAACTGCAATGCCTCTGAAGCGCATCAGAATTCTCACACTGCACTCCAGGGATTTTTGCAGCCAGAGGGGTTTCCTCTCTTCCCCCTTCCCCCCAAAAATAAAACTCATGGGTGATGAAAAAAAGATAAGAGATGAGGTGCTGGCCAAGTGTTAGCACACATTTACTAGTGGCTAAAGGGAGGGCAAGTTGTAACTGGCCATTGTTGCAAGGGCTGTGGTGAGTGCAGCTGCAAGCTATTGTGAGAACAGCCGTAGGGGTTTGCAGGGTGGCAACACTGGCCGTGTGAAAATGCCCATATCTGCCATCTGACCCATTGTTTTGCACCCAGATCCAGCTGGCAGATGAGAAGGCTGTAGTAAAGAACAGAATAGAACTTCTTGTAAGCTTGAAACTTGCCCATTACTCAGAGTGGCAGAAGCTCCCACAGTCCGAGGTAGAGAAGGTTATTCCCCACCATCTCTCAGTCCATCGGTTTTTAAAAAGGAGATATCTGCATGCAGTGTTCTGAATGAAAATCATGAATTCTCATGCTAACCTTGGAGCAGTCCATACTACCTCATTCTTGCAGCAGGTCCTCTCATATATATCCAACTAGTTCCCTTCTCAAAGGAAATGCACTTTGCACATAATCAGGTGCCCTTTTGCTCTCCAAAAGAACTTTTTAAAGGGAGAAGAGAAATCTTGCAGACGCTCAGGGTCTCATCATCAAAGGTACCACCATTTTTCAGAAACATCAAGAAATTGGCAGTCTCAGACGAGGGGAGATGATTAGATAACTGTTGAACTCCCTTTGAACATGACCAATTCTCAATCAAATGCAAAGGCTGAGCCTCTCTACTTGAGAAAGGAGCCACAGGGACTTGTGGAGACAGCAGAACAGTGCAGAAGCGAAGGCCACTGAAACAATCCTCCTCTTCCACCCTTCCCACCTCCTGCTTTCTGTTCCTCATCAGAAACACAACTCACGCCTCACATGGGCTGCCTCCCAGAACTCCTCGTTCTCTCTCTGCTTTTCATCTTATCTAAAAATAATCAAGCTCTTTGGGCAGTCAGTGCAGACGCTGAGGTCAGCACTATAGGTTCCTACTAGCATCCTGGATTAGCCAACCCACCACCTCCTCCTTCCAACTGAGTCTCTTTTTACTTTCTCCCCACTGCACACACACCTCACTTTCTTATGCAGCAACCCTTGGCTACAATCCACACGTCCCTGAATATCCTTGATGCAGCCAGGAACATTTTAAAGTGTCTTTTTATTATCCCCCCTCCCCAAACTCAGGGTGCTTGTGGGTAAGTGCATGTGTGAGTGAGAGAGATGCCTGAGCTGTTCCAGTTCACCTGACACAGCCAATTTTCCCAATATTCTGGTACCTGTTTTATTCCTACTGCTATTCTAATGTTCAGCATACACTAAGAGCAGAGTCATTCTACCTGTACCAACATGCATGTTTGCCAAACAGAACACCAACAGGAATATCACAGTCCAATGGGTGGGGGGGAGGGAGAAGGTACCCCACTCAGTGAGAGCTAAGTGTGCACAGTGGCCACAGAATCATACTAATATGTTACATAGAAAGTGGATAAAAGTATGGTTAGTGAATTGGGAATTACAGGTACTCCTCGTTTAGTGACCACAATTGGGACGAGCAACTCAGTCATTCAGCAAAGCTGTCACTAAGTGAAACCGCGACTGTGCTTATGATCTTACTTCAGCTTTCTTTTGGTTTACAGACCTGTGAAGGTCGTAAATGCAAGGATTGGTCATAAAGTTACTTTTTCATCACTGTCATAATTGCAAACTGTCGCTAAATGAGGCAGTTGCTAAAGGAGAAGAGAAGCTGCAGAGAGAAGCACTATATTTTGCAACATTTTGTTGCATCCCGAGTGATAATTCACGACTTATACCATCGTTGAGCCTCATTGCAGCTTTTAGAGTCCTCTCCTCATCACACCACGGAAATTTGGTAGCGTTTCTTTTTTCCCAATTTATAATGGCAAATCAGCTTTTTAATGCAGTTTAGGAGACTCCTTGTCCAACTGTTTACTTTTTAAAATTTTTCTGCTGTGCCCCACACACAATAATATCATAGTGCTTTTCTTGGCCAGAAAGAAAAAAAGTGTGGCCATGAGGCACTGAAAAGAAGCCAGCCCTGATTGAAAACCCGCTTAAATCACTTACTGTGGAAATCTATAAACATTATACAGTAGCAATGTAAAAGTGAAGCCTTAAAAGAAGTGCTAAACAACAAATCAAATGAGAGGTAAGCAAATGCTAAAATCAAAATCGTAAACAATAAGCTTGGATAAAATAAGTAAAAAAAAAAAAAATAACAATCCCTCGATCCAAAAACTAGGGCAGGAGGAACTACTGAAAAGCTATAGCAATATGTCATGATATGTATGGAAAATGCCTCCCATAGTGGTGTGAGCATTTGGGATACTAAATCATACAAGGAGCCTCCATGAGGTTCCCCATTTCCTAAATTATGTTCAGCGCGGTGGAAGCAAAATGAAGTGAGGTCCCTTCCACCACAATTTCCCTATTTGTGTGAGTATCGCATGAAGCATTCCTTTGCACTTAGCAATGCTCCTGAAATTCTCATCCATACTAGCTCCCAGACAGCTACACAAGGGCATTCAATTTTCTTGGGCAGCTGCAGGGTCCGAGCAGATCACACTGCCAACAGTTTCTGGGCTCTTCCTGCACTTACAGTTGGGTTGGGGGATGATACTACATTAAGCCACAACATGACAGGATCTCAGCAGCACTGCAAGTAGTTAGAATGACGACCATGATGCGCACCACCATCCTTACATTCTCTAACACAGGGTCCCTCAACCTTGGCAACTTTAAGACGGGTGGACTTCAATTCCCAGAATTCCCCA